TAAAAATCTGTCCGAAAATTTATAAGTCGATATTGCTAATAGCAGATAAAAAGATCTTTTACTTCATCTGCATCCCGATATGAAGTGATTGTCTGTTATTCAGAAGAAAAAAAGCCAAAGGTGTTGTATCTTATTATAAGAAAATTTTGCATGCTAAATGAAAGGAGTTTCGTTACCTTTCAAATTTTTAGCTGAAGATTTTGAGTAAAACCTGATCTCGGGCGATAATAAAAATTTCTCTTCTGGCCTATGATTTACTTAGTATCAAAATGAATTACTATTACGTTGAAAATTTGCATATGATAAAAAGATTTATTAAAGTCATAAATGAACATTAAAACTAAAATTTTTATTCCACCTTCTATCTTAATCTAACTTTCTAATACAATTCCTCAAAATATATCTTAAGATAATTGATTAAGTTATATCCCCATACAAATATTGCCGATTATTACAGTACTAATTAGACTAAGACATTTAAAAAATATTTAAATGAAGGATAATAAGGTATAGTACAGTGTAATAATTTATAACTATAATATCATTATAGTGAAAATTATAGCTTTACTTGACTCATCTGATTATGCTGGGAATGAAATACATATATCTATTTGTTCAATATCATGATTTTACAGAAATTTAGCTACCATGATATTTTTAAAAAGTAGAACAATAACACACACACACACACACACACACACACAGCCTGACAATAAAAATTTTCATCCTTTCAAGTAGAGTTTTAAAGATTTGAATGCATTGCTTTCTTATAGGATAAACATTTACATAAAAACTGCAGTAAAATAATAGAGAAATATAAATTTTAGAATGAAAAATGAAAATTACGTTTTAGAGAATAATTTGAATTGAGTAGATTAAATAATAATATGTAATTAACGTTATTGTTTTCGATAATAGTTTCAATAATTTTACGATAAATAAAAAGTTTACTTATTGTAAAACTATAACAAAAATAAGTAATAGTAGGTTCAATAAAATACTCAATAAAAAATATTGCTGTAATGTGAATGTCGGTTAAGTTTTAAGATATAAACAGAGAACAATGGTTCTGAGTAAGAAAAGTAATTATGCAGACACATTTATTAATAACAAAAATTTTCTTTGAAAAATATTTATTATGAAATAAACAGATTTACTTATCGGCAAAACATTTAGATTTAGCAAACTTGAAAAACTATTTCATATCATTACCAAATGACGCAAAAAGCAGATATATTAACAAAATGTTTAATTAATGATATTGATCGCTATACTTTTGCTGATCATAATTTTAGATTTTAACGTACAGCCCACAATATAATAATTATTTATTGTATGAACTTATAGATAATTGCTATAAAACTGCTATACATAACTACTGAATCAACGTTATATTTTTACATAATCAATTCATACCACAATAAATATTTTTTCCATTTGTTTGAATTATTGTCTCGTATAAAAATACTAACCTACATTTTCATTGGACCAATGAGTTCTTTTATTGATTACACAGCCCCCATAAAAAAGTCAAGACCAGCGAGCCAGACTAGTATACCCTCATGTAATTTTGTAATCCGATTCTGGGATCAAAAAAATTTGCGGCAACCAGTGAGAAGATTGATTGAAATACATGCAAAAGATATTACAAAAAGATTAATTCAATTATATCAAAATAATATGTAACGTTCTATGCGTTCATAAAAGTCTTATCAGTTACAATGATTTTTGTAAATAAATAAAAATTTAGAGGTGATTTGAACCCCTAGGAAGGGTAAGTTGCATACCTATTTTATGGACGTACTGTTTAATATTAGTTTATTCGTGATTCTTCTGAAAATTTCATTTATAATTTAAAAATATAGTTATAATATAGTTTATAATTTTTTATAAACTATAAAAATATAGTAATAATTTATAATAACAGTTATAATTTTTTAGTTTATAATTTAGCAGATTATAATTTTTTACTAATATATTTATTAGTATTTATTGACTATGGGTATTTATTTATTTATGGGTATTCTTGAATTTATAGGGGTGGTTTTAGCCTTTAGGTAAAGTAAATTGTAGGTCTATTGCATGAATGCTAGTCTTCGTTTTTTATTTAAGCTATCTTTTCTTGAAATTTTGTTCAAATAAGTTTTTCGCGTGTTTAATATTTTTACCACTTCTAGAGAGTTTTTAAGCAGTAAAATATTTTTTGTGGGTATACCAATGTTTTTGATCCCGGAATTGGATTCAGTGCTCAAAATTACATATCGGGGCATACTTATGTGGCTCGCTGATCTTGACGTTTGTTTTGTGGGGTCGTGTTATCGTATTAAACCTACTATACTTGTTTTTGTTATAATTTTATAATAAGTAAACTTTTTATTTGAAACTGATATTGAAATTATTTTTTGAACAAATTTTATTGTATTGGTTCCCATAAGACTCAATGCAAATTTTGATCACCATTCTTCACAGCTGTTGCATTGTGACGTCACGCTACTGAAGGTCCATAAACATTTTTTTGACTTGACAGGGCAAATTGTAAATAAATTTTTCCGGTTATGGACAACATGCACCTTGAAAGTTGAAAAGTATACGCATCGATCGACTCGCCGCAAATAAAAATAGTACATTATAAAATAAGTGTGGGAATAAAAATAATTATAATAACAAAATCAGTTTTCTGTTTTTCTGCTTTCTTGCTTGTATGAGTGAGCACCTAGCATTTCATCAATTGTTAAGATAGCTTACTCAAATTTGATACGCACTTTCGCAATAGTAATGTGAATGTGGCCTTTCCTTTTCCGAATTAGTAAATGTAATAAAAATAAAAAATTTTCTCATTTTCCTTACTTGTGCGTTAGATATTAGTATATTGTGTATATCAATGTTCCAAAGATCTATTGAATAATCATTAAAAAGTTACAAGTAATGTAGTCAAAATTTGGTTTTTCCACTACTATAGTGTCGTGAAGCGCGCTGAGTGCGCTCATATCTCTTTTATGTTAATATTATTGAATTTCATGCTTTTATTAAATAGCCTATTATAAAATAGTTCATATATATAAAATAGTACTATGCATTTCACATGCTTAACCTATTATTATCCAAGCAAAATCTAGGCCAGATAGCACCAAACTAAACAAAATTCTTTGCCGAATGAGGCTGCATCTTTTTTCATTGCTCATGGATTGCTCATTGGAATTAATAATGGAATTGGTCTAATAAAGTAGTGTAGTATTTTCTCGAAAGTCTATTAGTATCACTCGTTTTGAATATCAAAAATCGTACCGTTTTTTAGAAGAAAATGAATATAATCAATATAATATAATATATCACGCATTATTAAGAATAAGGCCTCATTAGAAACTTTCGTTTAAAAGCAGGCGAATGATCTCATAAAAATTTCCGGCCGACAGGATTGTCTTGATCTTCTACGGAATAGGTTCACCAGGAAAAATCAATCTACTGCTTTAATTGACACTTGACCTCTAGTTTATAGTAATGGATGCATGTTTCATTAACAGTTACTATGCGACGCAAAAACTCTAGTGAATTTCGTTTACAAATGTGAAGTTGATATTTGTATCCGCTTATTATCCATCGAAAGCAATCGCAGTATTCATCAGTTTTCTTATTATTAACTTATCATGCAAAATGTTAATTGCCGTTTCATACGATACGATTACCGCCTTTGCTATTTTAACATTTCTGTTCGTCGATCAGCTAGAATTATGTCATAGATCTTTTAAATGATTTTCTTAGTCACCGCGGTTGTTGGATGGCCTGGACTTTCTTCATGGAATAGTTATGGCAACGTTTAAATTTGTTAAATCAATATATCACAGTTGTCATAGATGGTGAGGGGACTCCATAAACAAAGTCTAACTTTGCATTTATTTTTTCAGACGTTTTATCATCCAAAAATAAAAAGCAAATTACAGACCACTATTGTTCTTTTTATAGCGAAAAGTACCAAATACATTTATTTATAAATGACTGTCAAATCAAAACTAACTTATCGCTATTTATTATATTTGAAATTGTGTATGCCATCGTTTGAAAGATGACAGTGTAAGATCGTAATATCTACTCATTTTTAGCAATGCCAGTTATCTTCAAATTCAAATATTTATTAATTCACCTTTGTAAGTTATTTTTAAATTTTATTCATATTTCAGTTAATAAAAATTATTTAGAAATATCTGCACATAATATAATTACAATAACAACAAAATTGCCAATCCGTTGGCAGATAACTTCTTCTTGAATATTTGTTGATCGTAATTATTATTTTTCTTATTTACTTCTCTATTTTATTAAATCCATTTTATTTTTTCAACTATTTATTTGATTAAAATTTATTATATTAATTACATATTTGATGAATTTCATGACATTTCTCGAACTTTTCACAGTTTTAATGAATTCTTATATTAATTTCTATAGTACGAATTGATTTTTAAAAATTTAATGCATATAAGATAATAAAATAAAAAATAATATCGGAGACCAGCCAACAGTATCAACATTATTCAATTTTAATTTTTCAAGTACAAAAATTATAGTATTCAATTGTTTTCTCACATATGAGCAATGTAAATAAATCAATTTTAGATTTCCAATTTTTATAATATTTCGTTATACTGGACGGTTCTCTAACTATATAACTTGTAAATATTTTTACTGTTGAAGCAAAAAACTATGTTTGAAACATTAATCTGTTTTGGTGTCACTACTTCTCGTAGGCAACTAGTAAAAAATGATAATTTAGCATTGGACTTTGATAATTAATCCATGTCTAAAAGATATCTATTTCTCATATATTCATCTTATTTGTACTCCACAAATATCCACAATAGAAATTAATATAATGCATGTTTTGCATATTTGTTATTGTTTAAAGTACGATTACACTTTGATATTTATTCGTGTATTCATACGCGCATTTTCAACTTTACTATTCAACTCTATTGTAAAATTCTTCTTCGATTTGTTTGTTATAGGAAAAACAAGTTCTGGATCAGACTGCGAAAGTGAGCCAGGTATTCAATTGAAACGAAAGCAAAGGCGTAGTCGCACGACGTTCACGGCTCAACAGTTGGATGAACTGGAGCGTGCATTTGAACGCACGCAATATCCAGACATATACACGCGTGAAGAGCTTGCGCAACGTACTAAACTAACCGAAGCACGAATTCAAGTTTGGTTTAGTAATCGTCGAGCAAGACTTCGCAAGCAATCAGCTTCAAATGCGGCAGGCTATGTTGCTGCTGCAGCCGCTGTAGCTGCTGGTGCTGTACCCTATCCTTACCCACTTCATCATTCTACGTCAACCACTGCTACTGTTTCATCGCCGGCTCAACATCCGCACGTTCATCTGCCAGGATCTCAAACTCATCCACCATCTACTGCTACTGCCGCAGCTGTTGCTGCTGCGGCCGCTACGGCCGCTGCTGTTGCTGCAACAGCCGCCTCCCAAACGCTATCAGAATCAAGCAGCTTCATTTCCGGCCAAGGTACATACCGGTTACGTATTGCTTACTCATACTCGATAAACTAAGAGGACGGTAGTGAATAGACAAAAAAGGGCAATGCCGAAGCCAATTACTAAAAGTTAAAGAGTCAGGAGCTACAAGCGCTTCTCATCCGTCCCGACTTTCATCTTTATTTTATTGCGTTTATCAAATCGTTTTATTTTATTCATGACATAAGATTCTTCAATAATATGTCAAAAATTGAAGTGAAGAACTATAATTTTGACAAAACTACTTTCTGCAAAGTTTTTATGCTTTTTATATAAGATTACAGATAACATTTTGGAAGCTTTGCAGATTTTCCTTGGGTTTGTTTATACATACACACAAACACACTTTGTGCGTGTGTGGTTTTGGTTTATATATATATATATATATATATATATATATATATATATATATATATATATATATATATATATATATGTTTGAAACATATATTTTAAATATAATAGCAAATCTCTAATGCAATCTCAATTGACTTTTACGTTTCAGAATTTTATACAACGCAGCATGGATCAGTGAGTCAAGGTATCTCAAGTTACAGCTTGGCTAACAATGTTAGTTTTCCTAGTTCGCTCCTTGCTTTACCGGCAAGTTCCACACCAGGCTCAAATGTGACTTACCCTCAACAATCGCAAGTTTCGCCACCTACACAACAGCAGCACCATCACCATCATCATCATCACCACCATCATCATCAACAACAACAGCATCAATTACCTCCAACACCTAATTCATTAGTAACAATAATGGGACCTAATTCGGCTAGCTCAAATTCTACTTCAGAACAACTAAATATCACTGAACATTCTATAGACTCTGTATCACCTGGACATCCACAACCACAACAAAATGCAAATTCGCCACCGTGGAGCTCATTAGTGGTAAGCACCACTGAAGCTGGCCCTAGAAATAGCCTGCCGAGTCCGCCAACGGTAAGCACGAACAGTAGTCTACAACAAAGTATTCCAGCTCATTTACATTCAAGTCATCAGCACCATCAAGTTTTTCCCAACCATTATGGACAAGGTGTTTTTCAACAAACAAGACCTCCAAGTCACCAACCATTTTACAATTGGTTTAACCAATTATAAACTTTTATAACATTGGTAACACGAATCAAATTTTATAAATATAAAACCTTAGTAATTTGTTTTGAACCATTTTATAATTGGTTAAACTAATTCTAAATGGTTAAAAATTCCTGTACTGTAAGGTTTTATTCTCATATGATAAAAATAGCATGTTTAGATTTCTTTTGGCTTCTGTTCTATCTATGACATGTAACGATAACAAAGAACATGAAGCGGTGATTAATGGCCTTGTGCGGATTTATTTCAAACGCAGATACAAGTCTCACAAAATTAGAATTATATTAAGCAAAGTTTCGGAATATTTTGATATGTTTATTTATTTTTATATTATGTGATAAAAGCTTGTACAATTCAATATTTATCCGATTTTATCAATTTTTTGCTGAATATTTCTACCGTTATTTGATGTTTTATTACTGACACGTCAAATTTTCGTCTATTTTATATGAAGCTACTGTTGGAGATTTATGAATAGAATAATAACAAAATGGCGTACTATTAGACATGCTAAATTAATTTTATTTCAACTTTAGCGTTCTTAAGAAATTACTCAACTGATTATTTAGATCATCTATAATCACAACCAAAGAATTAACTATATATGCGTATATAAACGCATACGTTTAACGTTTGTACGTACCAGGCACGTGTGCATACTACACAGACAGCTTATAAAGATATAATAATGTACAAAATACAAATACACATATACGTGTTCGCGGACACACACGAGCGCGCACGCGTATAACTGTTGCGGTAGACAATGTCACCACAAATTTGTACAATATTGGAATGTTTTAACAATGGAGATTGATAGTTAATATTTGTCTATCTTTGATATTTTAAATAAATTATGTCAAAGTTCACTAATATAGACCAATGACTATAACATGCTGCTACGATGTTTGGCAATCTCATCAACACATTTTCTTAAGTAAGTTGTATAGATTGTAATTAGCGAGTAATGTAACTTCAGTGTTTTTTTAAAACTTTTATTTATTTATTTTTTTATATAAGAACATCAAATTTTGTAACACTTGTTGTTTTGTGATCAATTAAGGAGAAAATTCAAGAATGGAGGCAATACGAATCAGTCGTTATTATTAAATAACATTCAAAAGTTTTGAAAAACTAAAAACTTAATAAACATTAATATGAAAATAGTTACATTACTATTATATATTTATACGAAATTCCTTCATTTCTACATTTGTAAATAATATTTAACATTCTTTTTATTTAGACATTTCCACTTTAGATAGGTTTCTGTAAAAGGTTTGTAAGTTCTGGAAAATGGTACATTATTTTTAAATAAGAAATAGAAAGTAAGAAAAAATAAAAAGCAAATAAATAAATTTAAATAAATAAACTACGAAAACAAAATTATTGTTTCATAAATATTTAGAAACTATTAATCTATCATATTACATAGACTGCTTTCTGCGAATAAACGAATATTTATAAATAATTTAAATTTTTCTACAACATTTTTTATTCAAGTTCATGTAACCTTCTATTTTCAACTCCTACTTTCCTAATTTTTTCCACTATATAGTTTTTCAATAACGACTGGATATTCAATGGAATAGCTTAGACCCCTACGTAAGAAATTATGGATTTCATACCAATTCCAATGTAAATATTTAAAAAAATAAAATTTTCATATTCTTGTTATAACGAAACTGATGATATAGATTTTATCTTATACTACAAGTCCTATCATGATGTATCTAAAGAGAATTTACCACTCACACTTTTATAGAGACTAGGAGACCAATTTGCATGTTTCAGATAAGAAAATAAGGCTAATAACTTGTCGCTTTTCGACGTTCACTAAGCTCACGTGAATATAGTTTTCAATTAAGTAATAGATAATGTAATAGGCAGTAGTGTGACAAATATTCTACAAGTAGACGGACTGTCGCATCATAAAATAACACATATTTTAATAATATTACGTGTTAGAATCAGAATACTTAATCTGAAAATTTGTATAAAAAGAAATATACACAAAAATGTAATATCGCTCAATCTGATTGAATGATAAAAATAACGAAGGAAACTTGGAAATATATCTTTTAAAAAATGCATACTTCCGTTATTATTAAATTTATATTTAATAAATCTTTAAAGAAAAAGTAGTAAACTATATATAATTTACGTTTACGACAAACGAGCTCGAGAAAAAAATTAGTTTTTCTATAATTTCAATTTAATTCGTTATTGCTAATTGTACAAAGTCTGCATGCTTTAGAGATATTAAATTTTCAATTTTTAAAATTAGTTTGAAAAGTATAAGAATAGCGTGACAAAATTAATAGTTTCATTTTTCTACTACAATTACATGTGATGTAGCTCAAGAAACGTATTACAAACATGACTCTATATGAATCTTTGTGCAGAAATGCTAAAATGGTAAAATATAACAAGTGTTATTATTGATTTCACTACTAATCAATAATTAGATCTGACGGGAAGGGATCACTATGTACATTTTTAATCTATCACTGCGTGTGTATGTGTGTGTGTGTGTTTTGATCTCATGAAATGTTTCAATCACATTTACATTGTCTTAAAGAAGAAACTTTGAATTAGCGATTTCGCAAACTTTCAATTTTTATGTATTTTTAAAATTTTTTTATGATTTATCCTTAATTTTCTATTGTTCTATCACTGGACTCTGTAATACACTTACGCGCATGCACACACACACAAAGAGCTTACTTCTTTTCTCTTTTCCCCCCTCCGCCTCCTCTTTTTGAAAGCAACTTCACTGTTTAAACAAATCAGTGAATCTGTATAGTTAGGAAAGAGTATGAATGAATAAAAATATATACCAAGAAAAACGAGAAAGAAAGCTAGTTCGTCAAGAATTAGAGTACACGATATTGATTTTAATTGATACAAACATAAGCGATGATTTATACTCCAAAAATGACCGTAAGTTTAATTTGGCAGGGGGGGGGGGTATTAACCGTGAAATAGGTGGAGTTTCGACGCCAACGTTTTTCCATCGACGAGTGGAATCATCGGTGAGTTGAGGTATCATATCTTAAATGCATTTTTAGTATAGTCTACACAAGTATATTGTGTCTGCATATGTAACCATTGAAGGGCAAGATGTCAAAAAATATTATGCATACGTCTGCATATATGTATTTTGCATTGTATTTCTTATATATATGTAGGGGTATCAAAAGTAACTGTACACTTGGAAAAACTTTCCAGGACCGCATTTTCCGAGAAAACTGTTCAAACAACAATTGTAGGATTTAGTCCAAAGAAATAATCGATGACCTTAACTTATTGTGCACCTCAATCATAATCTTCAAATGACTCTCAAGGTCAAGTTTGACCCAAGGTTCCCGCTCTTTTCATTTCCAAAATAATAAATAGAGGTTGCTATTTAAAAAGTTGACCTTGGAAAATGCGGTCCTAGAAAGTTTTTTCAGGTATATATATACATACTAGAAGTCTTTTTAAACTTTAAAACTAACATAGTTCTTCAAAAAACTATAAAAATAAAGTCAGTTGTCTGTTTTTCTGTATTTTCATTTCTGTTCGCGAGAACGTGGCATTTTGTCAATTTCCGATCTTTTTTGCTGAAAGTCGGCACACGCTATCATAACAGAATACTGATGTGGCTTAAACTTTGCAAATTTGTATTAAAAATGCAGTTATGAATCGGCATCCAGATATATACTTTATTGAATTATTGTTAATTCTACGTTACCATTTAGCATATTTTCAAATTTGATTTGTTTTCAACAGTTCAACTGTTCAATTTCAAAATATTTCAATAGTTAATTTAGCTGAATGGAATATAGGAAGCATTTTTGCAATAGTCAAAAATGTGCTTTTTCTGATTTTGATTACTTGCTTGATTTTTTAATTTTTGAATAAGTTTGATAAGATATGGAATGAATTTTTTCAATATTGTTTAAGAATGAAGGTGTAGAGGAATTATTTTTGACAAAATATATTGTGCGCAAGCTATATCATCGGGCTGCTTGATTGACAGAGAATCAGGAAATCATATGAAAATTAATTAATTCGATATTGAATTAAAAAGATTTTCTACTTGAATCTTATTTATGCTACAAAATGGTAATAAAAGAAAAAAGTATAATTGTAGTTGCTGCAGCAAGGCCTTAAAAATTCTTTTAGTATCAATACTAGTAAATGTGCAAAGATTCTTTATAATTATAGTAGCTAAACGCCAGCATCGCCAATAATTAACTAAATTATACCCCATAGTACAGAAAAAGTCACACTACATATGGGCGTTCTCTCGAAATGATTTGAATAATTATCTTATAGAAACAATACTTTCACTGTATATAGTAATCAATACGGTTAGGTCTGAGGGTATATGAGATTATCATGAAAAGAAAATATGAATAACATGATGATGCTATTTATCTAAAAGTAATTTTTACGTGAATTTTAAAGTGAAGATCTATGTGGTAACAAACAATTTTCAAACACTGTGCGTCAGAATGTTTCGTAGTAGAGCTATGCGAAGTTCTTGCAACGTTTTTGCGGGACCGATAACAGTTGTTAGGTTGTGTTATCTGTCGAATCAACTGAGTAAAACATCGATATGAATGTTAGAAAAAAATTTTTGTTATTTATCATATGTACATATATAATGTACAAATATCAAACATTAAAAAAAACATATTTATTTTAAACTTGATGTATATTTTTGCCGGGTTCGTTTTGACATATACCGATTCTACTCGATTTGATATTTTACACAAATTAAAAAAATTTGTGCTTATTTAATTTAATGATTTTTATTGAACAGGAAAAATAAAATACTATTCCTACCATAAGAAATGATGTGTAGCTTATCATTCAGTATTGATTAGATGATGCTAAAAAAGAGCACGAAATTTTAAATTTTCGTATATTTTGAAATGTTTGGATTATTGGTGACTAGCATTTAAGGGATCCCGCATTTAACGAATAAGTTACATATAATATTGTATCATTTATTTTTATTCTATCATTTTTTCCAAAACTCTAAGTATTTTAATGTGTAATTTTTAGAATTGTGATAATATATTTAATAAATAAATATATTATTAATTTGTTCTATGACATTAAATATGAAAGCTATTTTCAACTACAGTTTTCAGCATCCGTACTATTTTCAAATAATACCAGGCTCGTTGATTTGCTAGATATCGTGCTGTTAATATTGAATGAATACGTACTTACTTAATTTATTTTAGCCATGTATATAAAACAAATTAACTTTTGTGCCATTATAAAATAGATTTCATTACTTTCAAAAGTTTAGAAACAATTCATAAAAAAAAATGAATTGAGATACATAGTTAGATAAATAATAATTAGCGATAATTCAAAAAGAAATTTGATAACAGCCGTATAGTATGAAGTAATAGAATAGTATATAAAAAAATTAAATCGCATCCGTGCGATTATAAGATTGATTTCACTACTTTCAAAAGTTTAGAAACAGTTTTTTTTTTTTTTTTTTTAATTTGTAGCTTTATTAACTTCCAATTACAAAGTTATTTAGCTCGTTACTTAAGTAAATAGAGATAAATATATATATAAAGTATGTGAATACATATGTATGAATTATTTAATGTGTAAACCATGTGATTTTACCTTAGATTTTAACGTTACATTTTGTGAGAAATTTAAGCACTAATTGCATAACATGAATATTCGGTTTGACTAGAAAGGAACTAATATCAAGCGGAGGGTATTGTTTAGCGCGTCGTAGGTCTCTCATTAAGTGTTTTCGCTCGTTGTCAAACAGTGGACATTGCCATATGAGATGGTTCAAATCTTGTACCCCCCATTCGCAGTCACATATAGCATCACTAACAACATTTATTCTATGTAGAGATTGTTTGAGGCTGTGGTGATTACTGCAGCAACGGCATATAAAGACTATAAGGTCTCTACCAAGAGAAGGATCAATGAACCAAGGCTTAGGGCTGTTTTGGTAGTAGTTCGAAAAAAATTTTTTACCTTTGATTTTAGCTTCGTTTTGAATTCTATTTAGTGTTTGATTACTTATGAACTTTTTAAAGTGTTGTTTGTGATCGCTATATGGTATATGTTTTACGGTAGGAGCATAATTGGTAGCGAGTTTAGCGTGTTCGTCTGCTAGTTCATTGCCGAGTATGCCTACATGTGAGGGAACCCAGTAAATAGTGATTGACGATTCACCCGATGATTTTTTTAGAAACGTTAGATACTTATGTCGGATTTCTAGGACGTGAAAATTGATGTCAGTTTTGTTTTTCGGGCTATTCAGAGCCAGTACGAGACTTAATGAGTCGGTGAAAATATCTACGTTGCGATCGCTGTATTCAAGAGCAATGTCCAAGGCATCCGACAGAGCTATGCATTCAGCTGTGAAGATAGATGCCTTGTTAATAATGCTTTTAGTTTTGATAACATTAAGTTCAGGGCATACACAAGCAGAACCAACAGACTTACTTGCTGAATTTTTGCTTCCATCAGTGTAGATTTTAATGGATTGGACGTTTGAGAATTCTTTGTTAAAAGCATCATTAGGATTGTTGCTGTTTCTTAATGTGTACCCGAGGTCAATGTTAGTGTTCAGTGAAATTTTCATGATTTTGTAGTCATAATTATACAAACTAGGGAGGTTGTATGTATGGATTAGATGTTCTATACAGATTACATGTTTAATACATTCATTTAGGACGTTGATTTTTTTCTTTCTGCTATTTATAATGCTCATGCTGTACTTGTTTATGGTAGAACGAGTATTAGATTGCGTGACGCTAAACTTTTTGAGCAAAAAATTAGTACATAAAATCTTTGTTCTGTGTTCTAGCAGTGTCAGCTTAGATTCGCCTAGGAGGATATTGGTGGGAGTGCTCATCCTCAAACCCAGAGCCATTCTTATGGCCGAGTACTGAATCTTTTCTAGTGTTTCTTTTTTGGTTTTTTGAGTAGGGTAATAGATAAAGGAACCATAATCGATTATGGGCCTGACATAACTTTTATAGAAGGTGATCAGTGTATTGGGATGAGCTCCCCACCACACACCTCTGAGAAATTTAACAATGTTTAACGCTCGGTTGGTTTTTTCGTGTACATGTCTCAGATGTCTTTAAAAATTTAGCTCATAGTCAAAAAACAATCCGAGGAATTTGACGTGACTCTGTGATGGCAAACTTGTATCGTTAATAGTGATCTCGGTTTTACCAGGGAGGTAACCTTGTTTGTTAAAGTGTACATAACTTGTTTTTGCTAAAGAGATGTCAAGACCGTTTAGTCTCAAATTATTAATGATCTTGGTAAGCTCTTTTTCTAATAAAGGTATTGCTGTGTCTGGATTCTCAGTTTTAATGTACAGAGCTAGGTCGTCTGCGAACTGTGAGCTAAGAATGTTAATATCTACGTCCGTAAGTATACCATGTACGTAGAGTATATAGAGAAGAGGGCTCAGAACTCCGCCCTGTGGAAGACCTTTGTAGGAATTTTTTGGGTTGTCAATGTTGATTTCTGTATATATGAATCTATGGTAAGTTAAGAATTTGACTAGTTTTATTATTTTTGCTGAACACCCGATATTTGCAAGTATAGACAATAAAATATCACTATGAACATCATTAAACGCGTTACTGACGTCGAGGAAAACTGCCAATACGTGTTGTTGGTTGTTTAACGCGTTTTCTACGTCTAATTTGAAGGAAGTGAGGTTGTCGCAACATGACAAACCTTTTCGAAAACCGGTTTGAGTTGGGGGAAGGATGTTTTGAGTTTCGGCCCACCAGCGGATTCTGTATGAGATCATCAGTTCAAAAATCTTACATATGCAAGAAGTTAATGCTAAAGGGCGGAGGCCTTTTCCGTTCGGTTTTTCAGTAAAGTGTATGTAGGTGTGGAGCCAACTATCGGGATATGTGTCGGTGGAATAAATTTCATTGAGTATGTCAAGTAGTATTAAATGGATTTTTATTGGTAGTTTGTGGAGAATTTCGTAATTAATACCATCCATACCAGGAGCTGATTTGTCACCTCGGGAATTTAACGCGGTATTGAATTCGGTGAAGCTGAAGGCTTCATCTAGGAAGTGATTAGTTTCAGTATGGGAAAAGAGAGAGGGGTCCGTTGGAACCCATATCGGGCATAAAGTGTTGAGTGCAGTTTCGATTTGTATAGTTTTGTCGAGAACTTCTTCTTTACTTAGAGGGTTTATTTTTATCCACTTTTTTTTAAATAGTTTTGCTTTGTCCCATGTATATTTCAGATTGTAGTTGAAGTTGATAGTTGCAGCGAAATTACGAAAACATTTTCTCTTTTTGTTTTTGAAAGTTTTTTTAGCCAATGCTATTAGTCTCTTGTAATTAATGAGATCTGCAATATTATTTGTAAATTGCCAACGTTTAAATGCGGCTTGCCTTAGGCGTTTAATTTTATCGCATTCACTGTCCCACCACGGTACCGGATTTCTATGGCTGCTGTTATTATGTTTCCTTCGTTTAGGGGTACATTTTCCGATAGATTCTTTAATTACTTGGGTAAACATCTCGTATTTTACCAGCGTAGGAAGATTATCGTAATCAGGATCTAAGAATTTATGGTAATTGTCGTTTATTATTTCGTAAAATTTATTCCAATCAGTGCGCATGGATTGGGTTTTGAAAGTGCGTTTTTGATAGTAAGATTTCTCGGTATGAAGTGTCGCATGGATGGGGAAGTGATCAGAACCATAGGAGTTGTCTAGTACTTTAACCTTAAGTAGGTGAGCTAAATTGATAGTTGAGAAAAGTAAGTCAATGTTCGATTTAGTGTTGTTATGTGTGTTGATGTGAGTGTAGGTATTATTATTGTGCAGAAACAAGTTATGTTTTTCGGCTTGTTCGTGTAGAAGTTCGCCATCAGTGTCAGTGCAGTCTGAATTCCACGCAGTGTTATGTGAGTTGAAATCACCTAGTAAAATACAGTTATCGTTACTGGTTTGAGTGTAACACAATAATGTGTTCCATTGTTGTTCATTTAGAGAAACATGCGGAGGTTTGTAACAAGCAATAATTGTAATAGGGTATTTAAGATTGGTGATTTCGACGGCACATACTTCCACAAGCAAGTTAATATTTTGAATATTTTTTTTCAAGACATAATTGAATTTATTGCGGATTAGGTATACAATGCCTCCTCCAGTTGTATGTTCCCTATCTTTACGCAAAGTGTTGAAGCCCGAGAAGAGAAATTCATCTTTTTTCTTTAACCATGATTCTACACAAACGAATATATCGATGTCTTGGATAAGTTCAGGTAATTCATCGATTTTATTGCAAATACTTCTAGGGTTCCAGTACAAAATTTTTAATTCAGAGTGTACATAAATTTTATTACGCGGAGCGTAAACTGTCTGTTTACTCTTTTGCATATTGAATATTAGATAGTAATTGAAAGGGTGATATAAATAAGAAACACGATAAATACAACCTATACAAGTTATTTATCATTGGCTTTCGTTGTTGGAGTATTCGTCGTCTTCTGTTGTTTCTACTTCCATGCTCAACTGAGTGGCTTTGAGTTGCTTGATAATGCTTGTAATTCTGCGTTTTATTGTTCTCCCATTAATGTTGGTGTGTACGTCGTTTAGCATAACTATCAAGCCGTTGTAATTATTAGTAAATGTGTCCGCTAAGGCTGGTATGATCTTATACTCATAATTGTAAGAATCTTTCAAGAAATTATATAGTTGTGCGAATGTTATAGGATAGGTTTCGAGTGAGAGCACGGCAGTCTTTTCTGCTACCGCGGTTATCTTAGATTCCAAATCACTGGGTGGCTCTTTCGGGGTCGTCAACTTTTTTCTTTTCTCTACGTGGGCAGTAGTGCCGAGAGTTTTTCGAGTGGTATCTTCTTGATTATTTGAGGCTTGAGTACTGATGGATAGAGCGCGTTTGGCGAAAACCGTATTGTCAGGTGTCTTAATCTTGTTAAATAATTGTTGTCCGTTGAATTCGGGCTCGAATGATTGTTGGTTTGTAGGATGGGTAAGAGCAGTGTTATGGAGAGAGTTTCCGTTCGTATTGTCGAAAGCTTGTAGTATATCATTCGATGTATTATTCACCTGTTCCGTCGTGTTTGAGCACGACTGTGTATTACTCTCGTATGTATGCTCGTCTTTGTTTTTAGAACAGTACCTGGCAGTGTGTCCTTCTTGATTACAAAGAAAACATGTGATCTTATCTGTGGAAATATAAATGTGGTGAATGGATTCATCGTAGTTGAGAGTCAGCTCCTTGGGGAGTTTGTTGACATCTTCCGGATCGATGTATAGTTGTCGGCGAAAACTAAGTATGTGTGAGAAGCCAGTTTCAGCAAAGCCCAATCTTATCCAGCTCATGTTAGATTTAGGCTCTATGCCTCTTGTCTTTAATTGAGTAATAATTTCGTCGTGAGGAATACTCGGATGGACATTGGAAAGAATGACTCTACGTGATTTTGCAACATATGGTCTCATTTTGAATATTTGATTGTTGATTACAAAGGTGTTGTTTCCTTCGCTAGTCAATTGATCTACTAGCTTTTCGTCGTTGAGATAACAGCAAAATCGATTTTGAGAAATTTTGGAAGCAGCGATGATGTTAGCTGGAGACGTTTTAGTTGCTATACCTCTGAGATAGTCTTTAATTTTAATACCGTCTGCTGTGTCAATAATTATGGCTAAATTCTTTTTTGGGAACATGCTGTTGCTGACGATTTTCGAGAACGATGGAGTTGGTGATGGATTCATTTTACTAGGAGTTGGAGTTGGCACTTTTTCTTGCGGATTAACACTTGCACTTTTCAGCGGTTGTGTGAGGGGGGAAGATTCGGTTTGCATTGTGTTGGTGAACGTTTGAAAGGATAACTAATTCAAGTGTATATAAACGACAAGAATTTGTGAAGGCACTAAGCACATACGTCGCGGGCAAGCCGCGACGTACAAGAATAAACAAATGTAGAACTAGCCGGAGCGATTTGTATACACGTGTAACTCGCACGACTGCTAAAACCGAACTGTTTAGAAACAGTTAATTCATAAAAAAACTAAAACTCAATAATGATACATAGTGAAATATATAAATAATTTAAATAGAGATTTGATAAGATTGTATTGTAACATGTAAGAAGGTAATTGTCTAAGTAACAGTTTACTTTGTAAAATTTTGTTTAATGGTATTTAAATAAGATTGATAAAAAAATAGTGCGTTTGAAGAAGTAGTAATAATAATATCAAGAGACCAAAAAATATATAACTACAATTTTTATATAATTTTACAAAAGCATTCATGCAACTTTTTACTTTGTTAAAAGTGTTTTTTTTTGTTAGATTTCACTTATTTCAAAGTAAGCTCTAATTAATAGGTTCATGAAAACGTAGTTTGTGGCTGTTTGCTAGCTAGCAAATTTTTTTGTATAATTATTACAAATTAATCATTTCTTGTTTGGTGCTTTAATTGGTTCTAAAAATATTATGTATATATCTTTTGAGCCTTCGGGTCGCGGTTTTTCAATACATTTAGTATCAGAAACATGGAACCCATTATTTACTTCGCGTAAAACATTGAAATAATATTCGTTTTCCAAACTTGGTACACAATG